CACCATTGACGATACTGATGTTGCACAAACACAGCTTGGGTATTTTGAAGTTCTATGTAAACTGTGAAAACGTTAAGCAAAGTAACAGATAATTACGTAATTACACTATCGGGACGTACTGCCTTCAGTTCTGTCATTGCTTACGTCATAACGTTACTGATAACCTCTGTAACATAGATGTATCAAACATTCTAGCAGATATATCACATCTGCTATTGAGTAATATATTATAATAATTGGTTCACTTCGGATATTTTAAAAAAAATATCACTAGCTTGAGCTGTTGCTGTGTAGATCGAACCGTCTCTAAAACGTCTATGAGGTTGCATCATTATGAGATAGTGCTTTACGAGGTGCTATCGGAAAGTTCCCGGACTAGGTAAAAAAAGAAAAAGAAAAGGTGGCTTAACTTGCTCAATTTTGGCTGTCGTCTCCTCCAGAATAGTCTCCTTTGGAACGCATACAACGATCCCATCTTCTTTTTCCACTTTTCAAAAGCATCCGTGAAAGTCGTGTCGAGTGCCGCTTGCAGTTCCCTTTCGATATCAGTCACTTTCAAAACGTCGTCCCTTCAGTTTCATTTTCAGATTGGGAAACAAAGCGAAGTCGCAGGGGGCTAAGTCCGGCTAGTAGAGAGGAACTGTTTTCTTAGCGGTCCTTTCCAAGATATTGTCGCGTGTTGCCTATATAACGCGACAAATTCACGCAGGTCTCAGATTTAGCGAATAAGTTTATTGGTCAATCGCTTTTACACACGCAAGTACAATTGCACCGCTACCCTCGGTCAAGTATCTTGGGCTCTTGTCGAAGAACTCTTTCTGCTAGAGTCGAATACAAACTCAATACAAGCTCAATTGTAAACTGTCTGGTCCAAGTTACATTGCGACTGATGGTCAGTCAGTCTGTCTTGGTGTCGAGCCCCGGTTGGGGCTCATGACCAGATTTTTTTCTTTTTGTTTTTTCCTTATATGAAAGTTACTGTCCTGTCCATTTGGGGCGCCCTCTCTGACGAGAGGTCGGGTCTGTCATTTATCAGTCACAGTCCGTATTAGTAAGTCCATTGTCAGTATTTGTATATATTCACAAATTTAATCTTAATTTCTATTTCTATGTACAATATACACAATGCCTCTGTCAATCCAGGCTCAGTACAGCAGATTATGCCCTATTTCTAGTAGTGTTCGCTACCACAGCAGTCTAGTCACTTGATAGGTCGCATGTCGGACCGCCGCCAAGTTTAAACCTCTTATACTTTCTGCGTCGTGCTTCGCCTTGTCCGATGTTGCGAACATTCTCATTCTCATGATTTTGTATGACTTCTGCTTGTTTCCTGCATAATTGTGTTATATAGTCATATACGTACGGGATTTTGGATGCCATGTGCAGCTGAACTTTTGTAACCTGGTCTCGGACAGAATATAGGGCACCATGTGGGNGATTTTGGATGCCATGTGCAGCTGAACTTTTGTAACCTGGTCTCGGCCGCTGCCATGCAACGAACCCTCTGTTGTCCTTTCATCTCCGGGGAAACGCGTTTGTTGCTTAAAGTATTCCTAGGCAACTGCCCACTGTTACTGCGTTTCCATGGAAGTACCCCTTCCGGATTGCCGGCACGCGACAATATTATAACCAGGACAGTTTGGAGTAATAAGTCGGTCTGTGAAGAGAAGACTTAATAGGTGCAGATGAGTTCAGTTGTGAGGTATTAGCCAGAGGACAACGACGTGAACACGGAATCTGAAGAACATCCACTGATAGAAGCCGTTACCAGGAAACGAATAATTGAGACTGCAGTAAGCCATGGGAAGGTATGAGGGAGTAGAAGTATAGCTCCATCACTTTTTACCTCGGCACTAGATGGAGATGGTCAGTTTCACGCCCCGGCAACTTTACCTCTGATACATACTGAATAGGAGGCTAGGTGGGCCACAGAGCAACTCTGGACACTGTGCAGAAGAGAAAAATATCTTGACCCTGTTAGGAATTGAACCTCGGCAGCCCAGCCAGTAGTCGGTCACGGTGCTGTCTGAGCTATCCTGTTTCAATATAGAAACATAGTCTACATCCAATTGGGGTCAAAATGCATAATGATTTTACATTTCTAGTGAAGACTATAAAGACCTCCTCTGAGGTCTAGTGGTCAGAGTTCCTGGCTACAGATCCAGAGGTCCTGGGTTCGATTCCCGGCGCTACCAGATTTTCTGAGTAGTAGTGGGTCTGGAATGGTGTCCACTCAGCCTCGTGAGGATAATTGAGGAACTGTTTCAAGGAAATAGCGGTTCCGGTCTAGAAAACCGAGATTAACGGCCCTGGAGATCCGTTGCGCTGACCATGCGACACCCTGTATCCGCTAAAGTTGTAATTAACTTCGCCTACAAGCGGCGGTCGCTCAGTCGGTATAGTTCGCTTGCGGACTACAGGCCACGGAGTTTATTTACTGAATACTATAAATAGTATATTTTATAAAAATCCTTTAATCTGAAGAGGATGTTCTTGAAATCATATGGACTAACAAATAAAACAGACATAAGTTGTAAATTGCTTTTTTCTGAAATATGACGCCGTGTGATATAGTATATATTTATCGACGTTTTGATGGAAGCTGCTGCCTCCATCTGCAAGATAAAAATTGAGGCAGCACATTTCTGTGAAAGGGCAGTGAATATTTGACAGACTATAGTGGGGTTACATCCCAGAAGACTTCTCTTCAAAATCACTGCCCTGAGAACCATAGATCTCACAAGATACAGTTATAGGAATGTACATGCTGATACGAAACAGATATATATTGTACGATTATCCAAAATATTGACGGAAATTAAGTTTCCCTTTCAGAATGTGAAACATTCTGAGGGGTTCTAAGTATTGCTGTGTTTTATATATTTTACGTTTCATCTTCTTACCTTCTCGTACAGGACAAATACTTATTATTCTTAGTCGCCTCTCACATTTTACTAAGTTTAACCTTTGATCTCTGAAAGAATTCTCCAATTAGAGAGCTTCATGATGAAAGAATCATGACGGCCGAAGGTCAATGGGAATGAAGTCGCATAAGTTCTCTTAGGGTCCGAAGTGCATGTGCCATTTTAGTGAGAAATCCTGAAGGAAAATAGTCATGTAGAGAAAGACATAGGCATGCTTGGGGAATGATTATAAACTGTATCTTAAAGGAGTCCCCTCGAGGACTACCGTTTTGTGGAGAGAAGATTTGTGCACCACAGTGACCCAGAGAGCTATGCTGGCGTTAACGTAAGCTCTTGGTAGGGCCACCTATGCCACACAGGTCAAAAGGTAAGGGCCAGACGAAACGTAGTCTCTGGTGCTCCAGGTTGGAGGTTGAGCGTGGGGCTAACGATCCAACCGCAGAAAAATATATTGCTGCGAAACAACGTGGGAGGCCTAGACCCACACAAGGCTGTAGTGACAGTAAAGAGAAAACTTGGGCTGTATTCGTCTGGCACAAGGTGGAAGTCAATGATGGTTTGTTTGATGTTGGTCCTAAACCTTCATGTTTTATGAAAGCTGGGGAATTTCTTGACTAGCTGAACGACTAATTGGCTTCTCAACAAAAGATTCTATTCCATGGAATTCATTTATTTATTTACTTATTTGCCCATAAATACATAAGTATCGGTGGTTGTAGAAATATCTAATCTAATGTATGAAGAGGAGTGTTTATTTATAAATGCCCCCACCGTTGTACCATTTTTGACTAAATTTGGCAATATGGTGGAGGGCCTCCATGGGGAGACTTCAGACGTTTTAAAACATTAAATTTTTAAATTCAAGTGTTCCTTAAACATGTTTGAAATCCCTCCAAAATAGTTTCTTATTTCTTGAGAACCACTCTCTCAAGAGTATTGAGTTTTCTTTTGGGTCCGATAGAGCTTAGAAAGAAATCTCGCTTGCTATCTATATCTGTTACTATTCTTGAGGTATATAATTTTCAGTTTTACAAAAACAAACGGCAATTAAAGATGCGAAAAGGCAAGGATTTACGTTGTAATGGATTAGTTAACTTTCATACAAATCGGTTACTTAACATTAATATTGCCACGTGTTAGTGGCAGGACACGGAGTTTGGATTGGTAATTGGATATATTGAACACTTATAGCTTGTAACTATAACGGACTAATCGATTTACACACTCTAAAGACCACTGCAACTGCAGCATTCATAGTCTTCTATGCCTTTACTAGTCGTTGCTTGCTAACGGCTTCTATCAATGGGTATTCCTTTGCTTCTGTACTCATGTCCATGCTGGCTGGTGACTGATTCACAGCTAAGTACATAGCATGGCAGTAAATTGCTGCTGGCCGTCGCCAGCATACGAGTAGTTAATCTTGGTATCGTGTCCCTTCCGGACGAAGACGCGGATGGGTGGTTAATATTAAAATGGATCCAAGACAGAATGGGGTGGTATGGACTGGACTGATCTAGCTCAGGATAGGGACCAGCGGAGGACTCTTGTGAACACGGTAATGAACCTTCGAGTTCCATAAAATAATGGGAGATTCTTGAGCATATGCACTACTGACTGCTTCTCAAGAAGGGCTAAGCTCCATGGAGTTAGTTATTTACTGATGCTGCAGGTAGCTCGGGCTCTGTGGTGTCCAATAACTGGGTGAATACCGAATGATTTGTTGGCAAGAATGCGAAAGGAAGTGATTATTTTCCAATTTGAGGTACTCTTAAGGCATTTGTCTCAAGTGACTCAAGAAAACAATGAAAATCCCAACAAGTGTAACCGATTTTTGGGCTGAAATGCAATTGTTTGTGAAAATCACAGTCATGGAAAGAAAGGAAGCTGTAGAATAGTAAAGTATATACGGGAGCCGCGCAAAGTTAATGTTTACTTCTTAGATTGTAGCTGTCTGGTAAATAATTATAGCTAAACACATGACATATTCTGATAGATATGACTATAGCTGAAACTTCTGTGAACGTTTTATGTTGTAATATCATGAATACAAAAAGTAATAATGACGCTTACTTCCAGTTATACTTATGATGACGTGCAAGAGACTTCAGTCTTTCTGCTACGGAAGACAAAATACAGACCTGCGATTGGAATCATTTGTGGTTCCGGCCTTGGTAAGATATTTTTACAAGCTTTCTGTTTCAATTTTTATTAAGTCCAGAAAAAATATAAATGTAATGAGATACTTCTTATATCACTATCGATTACTCTTTTTAGATATATCGACGACATGTTGCATGATTGTATATATAGATGTTAGCAACGATGCCCATCATACCAAAAGTAGAATTAAACAGAACGAATATGATAAATTGCAATAGAAAACAGCAGAATTAACATTTTTTGGAGTTTATATTCCTACTTCTCTGTAATTTACATATTTTGTAAAGATTTCTTCTTGTACATGAACTTTCTTCATTGAATAACAGTGTAAAGAATTACATTGTATATTACTAACCAACGGTGTAAACTGAAGTTAAGTAAGAATATATATATATTGTGACGTGTCGGCTGTGTGACTTGACACGAATAAATTGCGTGAGCCTTCGGATCGGAACGAATTATTTTATTGGACGCTTATTTGTACACACACTCGTACAATTATTCACTTAGAGCGCTACTGTACCGTCAGTACACGTACACTCTGGAGCTCTTCTGCGAAGTCTTAGCACAACCTGCTTCTATCTCGCTAGAGTCGAACCCAAAACTGTGAGCATCAGAATCCCTACAGTGACTTACAAAATGTGATTTCACTCGGAATCTCTTGTGGTACTTGTGATACTTGTGATACTGAACTCTCGCTGGAGTTGCACTCTCTTATACATCCAGCGTTGGAACGGGACAGGGGATACCTTATCGAAGGGTTAATTCATCCATTGTTACGCAACGAACAATCCGTTGCTTAGGAAATGCTAGCCCTACTCAATACAGAACAGCATGTAGAAGTGTTTGGTTTCATCCGTTGTTACGCAACTTACAATCCGTTGCACGGATATTCCTATACAACTGTCTGTTGGTATTCACTTCGTCGCTGTGGGTACTCAGCAATTTCCATATATTCGTTGCCGCTGAAGTATGTGTTCGCGTTGCAGCCCTTGCGCAGCGATGGACTTCATATAGCACGTCACAGTATGTATCAGCAAGAAAAGATGAGGTATTCGTAATTTATTAATCGTCACCCCCCCCAATATTATTAAACAACGTAACAATTTCTCACTGTGTTTGATAGCTTATATGTATGGGCACCAGTAGGGAGGATAGGAAAGCCAAACGTCTGTCCTCTCTGGATATTTTTTAAAGGATTGGAATTGGGGAAATGAAGGAAAACTGCCAAATAATTATCATGAAAATTCAAAACAGGTTTAAAAATATTCTTATGTTCATTAGAGTTTAGGACGATCAGCGAGAATACTCTTTAGCAGCTTGAACGTAAATTTGTAAGCAAATTTTATTGTCTCCCCACTTTGGATACTGGCTGCCACCCTTTGAAAAAATCCTGATATTATCCACACATGTAGGCCTTAGGAAATAGGTGCTTTTTAATGCTTTATCGCGTATGGTCACAAAATATCGGTCAAGTTGCAACATGCGCCGTTACTTTGTTATCGCCTACTTCTTTTGTATGAAAGATATATGAATATACAGTTATATACAATATATACCGTATTTACGCATGTATAGGCCGCGTGCGTGTATAGGCCGCAGCACAATTTTCAGACAGAAATTATAGAAAAAATAATTTTCTTGGAATATTATTTCAGGAGTAGAACACTCTGTATTACTAATTATGAATATATATATTTTTTAATGAAGTGTGATTTCGAATATTTCGAATATAAGCCGCACCCCAGATTTCCTCTTGAATTTTTGGCAAAAA